AAGTCGCCAGGAACTCCACTCCAGGGAAACTTCCCTTCTTCCTATAGGAGCGAGCATTTCTCAAGGATTGACAGTGCAACAGAGCACAAGAGGAAAGGCCGAATGAGCAGAACCTGAGCAAAATAAGAAAGGGGTGGAGGGACGAAGAACCCTCCCAGGCCAGCCCTGCAGCCCCCAAAGAAGTGGCCGCCAAGATTGATGAGCATCAGCGACAGAAAGGGACGTACATTCTTTGGATCCTTCAGTCCGATCCAAACGTTTCTGTCACTGAGAAACCCGGAGATATACGTGGCCAAATGAAGTGAATCTACCAGGGCATGGATGGAGGCCAGGTGGCAGCCCGTCTTCTGGGCCCTGCAGAACTTCTGGAAGAGGGACAACAGAGAAAGGCACTTGTTCAGTGGAGAAGAAACATGCGTGTGTGTTTGTGCATGTGAGAAAAGAGCAGGCGTCTGATCGCAAGATCACAGCCACCATTTTGATTTGTGAATCGAAGTCAGGAATTCCTCAAGAGCTGCATTGTCCAGCGAGGGCATTTGCGGGAGTTAAAATTTCTGCCCCCACAACTAAGACTCCAGACTGAACTCAGGATCAGCGAATGGGCCAGTGGACTCAACGGCCCCACTACCCCTGCGCGGTAAGTCAGTCAGTCTACGGAGTAAGTCTATGGAGTCCCCACTGAGCGGAGGAGAGTCCTTTAAATGGGCTGCGAGGAAGAGTCCGTGGAACATTTGCCTTGGGACTATCCTAAAATCTCGGTCTCTGCTGCCTCCTCGTGCACCCAGCCTGGTGGCCCTCCAGGGCCCCCTTGACAGGTCTTCAGCCCATCAGAGGGGATGTGGGTGCTCGGCCAGGGCTCGGCCTAGATCCTCCTCTGCCCGGGATGGGATGGTCACGGGCACACAGCGCTTCTCACCTCTGCCTCAGTCCAGTTCTTGGCTTTCAGGAAGATCTGGTAGCAAGATTTCTTGTAGGTGAGCCAACCGGAGGGACAAGAGTTTGGGGCTCCAGTTGCTGTGTGGGAAGAGAGAAAGCCCAGAGAGAGACTGGCGAGGAGGAGGAGGAGGAGGAGGAGGAGGGAGCTGGGTCTGCAGAACACGCCTCTCCTGCTGAGTTGCACCCCCTTTGACCACTGTAAATTGAGGCTTTCTTGGGTTACATGCGCAGCGGCTGCGTTTCAGAGTGTCCAAAGCTCGCTTGGGTGAGCCTCGGTTAACTTCCCTGAAGCTGCACGTCCTGTGCGAACGAGCCTGGCTGCGTTGGTCGGTTCACCCTTCAGCGAACCGTGCAAAGCCAGAAAACGGGTTCCTTCCAGAACCAGGCTGAGCCTCTCTCGCCTCTGCACGGTTTCCTATGTGGGGAAGGGGCTTCTCTGGAGTGGATCCCGTGGAGAGCAATCCCTAGGAAGGGGGGGTGGCTGTGGGGGGCTCACTCCACCCTTAATGATAAAAGCACGGATCTTTCACCCAGGTTTTAACTGTTTAGCTGTGTTCATGTTCAGCCTGAATCGGAATTTTGATTGTTTGTATTAATTTTCCTTTGTTTTTTATTGTGCAAAAATCGCTGGATCTTGGAGCAGACAAATTGTGTTAGGCTTAGATTTTTTTTTTATTCCACCTTTATTATTTCTGGAAATAACTCAAGGCGGCGAACGTGCCTAATACTCCTCCCTCTTCTTCTGTTCCCCACCACAACCACCCTGTGAGGTGGGTTGGGCTGGACCAAAGGGGTCTCCTGCTTTCAGGGGTCTCCCGCTTTCTAGCCTGGCCCCTTCGCCACGAGACCAAGGCAGGATCTAAACCCTGCAGTCAGCCAAACCCGAATGAAAGCAAATTCAGCCCCTGAGGGCCAAACCAGGGAGGGGTTCAGATGCAAGAGCCTTGGACTCGGGGGCATGGGGACCCCACCCGAACTCACCACTTAGGGGGAGAGCCACAAGCAGCAGGCCCAGGTGCACGAAGGTGCAACGCCCCATGGTCTTCCTTCCTTTCCTGCGGAGAGGAGCAAAGAGTGGTGAAGGGCCACTCGGGAAGGAGAAGGAGGGCCCCATCTCCAGCCGGGGCCAAGCTGGGGGTCCGAGACTTTGTCTCGCCCAGCCGGACCCCGTTGCTCGATCTCTGGTCCTACGGTGGCTCTAGTGGGGTCGCGGCGTATCCTGCGCTGCTGTGCAACGGCCGGGCCCTCCCTAAGAAAGGGAGGGGCTCTCTCTGTGGGTTTCTCTTTCTCCCCCCCATGGGTCCCCCGAGAGATCCCCTGCTGGGCCTGGGCTTTGCCCGCAGCCGCCCCCCAGAGGCCCCCTCTGGTGGAAAGAGTCAGCCGGGCTCACCTGCTGCAGGTGCCTCCCGCCAGGTCCCAGGTGGAGAGCGGCACTCCCCTGTCCCTCGGCCTCCGCGGCTGGCGTCTCTGCTGCAGAGTCAATGGGGGCATTTATAGGCAGGGCGAGGGGTGGATTTCTCGGGGGGGAGGGAGGGAGGGAGAGGGAGCTTTGCTTCAGAACGGAGTTTTGGTCCGGCAACCAGGAAGCGTCTTGTTTGCGCAACGGAACGGTAATCTGACTTTAACCCTCACGTTCTGTGAGGATGGGGGTCGTGGAAAGAATCCTGCCCGTAGAGGGGCCCCGAGGCCATCCAGCCCAGCCCAATGGCTTTTCATGCCACCCCTTTCCTTTGGGGCCGGGGGAACCCACCTTCTGGATTTGTACGGCTGCAGCGAGGTGGCTGCAGGATGGAGGCCACCGAGATGCCTTTTCTTCACACACTCGGGGTTCCTAAGCGGGATCCCCAACTCTCCCGGAGCAGCAATTCAGCCAGCGGGTTGCAAGCTCAGTGTCGGCAGCCGCAAAGAGGGAGCACCGCAAAGCCTTGACACCCAGTGCCACGAGGCAAAAGTTGTCTCCTTCCCCTTGGAAGAAACCAGGGAAGAAGCAGAGCAGAAGGAGCAAGGAAGCGAGTCCTGCAA